ACAAGGATGCAGCTATCTTCCTCCAGCTGAGCATTCTACAGCCTCAGGTGCTGTGAGCAAGTGGCTGGGATGTGTGTCCAGGGGAAGGACCATCCCTGGAGTGAGGGCCCTGGCACTGAGAGATCAAAACCTATGCTGAGTTGGAAGAGACCCACAAGGATCATAAGTCCAACTCCTGGCCATGCACAGGACAGCCCAGCAATCCCATCATGTGCCTGAGAATGTGGTCCAAACACTCCTTGAACTCTGGTTCGGGCTTAGTGCCATGACCTCTGCCCTGGGGAGGTGGTTCCAATGCCCAACCAGCCTCCTGGTGAAGAATCTTTTTCTAACATCCAACCTAAATCTCCCCAGACACAAATGTTGTAGGGGTGGTGTTTTTTGGACAGGTGCCTTCTGCCCCAGTTCCCTGTGCCCTCCATCCCTGCCAGCCTGCTCTCAGTTTGCTGCCACTGCCATGCCCTGTCACAGCTCCATACTCATCACCACCTGTCAGCAGAGGGATTTCCTGTGCCACTATTTAAAATATCTCCTCCTTAGGTTTGGGCTCTGCTCCTGTACCTCTCCTGCAGCACATGACTTGCTGTTCCCTGGGTGAGTGGACTGACAGCAGGCAGCAACCCTCACCTTTCTCCCTGGACAGCATCTGCCTGTGAGCTCCATCCTGCCCATTCCTGCAGGGCCAGGACACAATACAACACCCCCACAGATCCCATGCCAGCTGGCAGGCATGGTGGGAAGTGAGCTGCATTCTGCCACTCTGTGTAGGTGGTGGAAGTCATGGGGATGAGTGTCATATCCCTGAAGAGGACTCTTGAGGTGGCAGCAATGACATGCTCCAGAGTGAGTTAGCAAAGTCCCTGTGTCCCAACACTCTGCCTTTGTGTCTGTGAGTAACTCCTCATGGTCATGGGGTGTGGAAGGCAGCTGGGAGAGGTGTCTGGTGGGAGATGGAGAAGAGCTTTGGTGGCAGAGGCAGGTGCTGAGTGCAAAGCTTATCAAGGACCAGGTCCCCTGTAGCCATGGAGAGGGACACAGCCCAGCTCCCTGGGAGTAAGCGTGCAGGTCTGCTGCAGACCCTGCTTTGAAAAACTGTGTCTGAGCTCGGTCATAGGTATGTGGCAAGGTGAGGAGATACCCCACAAGCTGTGGCCATTCTGGAGCTGTTTAATGCAAGCTGGGAGACTTGGCACCACGTTCCATGGAAGAGAGGCACCTGGTGCCAGACACGACCTGGGCACCAAACCCCGCAGTGCTGCGGCCGCAGGCTGTGGGCAGGTGTGGGAGGCAGGGTGCTGGCAGAGCAGGCAGGCAGGAATGCTCCCCCTGCCTGCGCACAGCGAGGCGTGACAGCGTCAGCCGGGCTTATCTCTGCTTTCCCAGAGCAGCGGGTTACTGGAACTGCATTCACTTATCAGGAAACAGGGGATCTTGCTGGGAAGATGGGCTCAAGGTGCGACAGCATCCAGCCTCTGCTGACGCTGAGCTGCTGGCGATCCCTGAGCCTGGAGCTCGCAGCTTCCTCTGCATCCAGCCCTGAGCCTCCTGCTCAGCCCTGATAAACCTGAGAGACCTGGGCCACGTGTTTTCCTGCTGCCTGCCCAGGGACCCCTCCTGCCCTGCTGTGTGTGGCTCAGGGACCCCAACAGCTCTCCTTACCATGGGCTGAGGTCTTCCCAGCTCCTGCTGCTGCTGGAGGCAGCCGGCTCGGACGAGCCAGGCCGGAGTGACTGCATTCCTGGCCAAGCCTCGTGCTTGGCCTGCTCTCCTGAAACCGTGGGAAGGCAGTAGCTTGGCGACCCAATGTCTGCCTTCGCCGCAGGGATTTGTGAATTCCAGCTCGTGTTGTGGAGTAACCTGTGAGGGTCAGGATGTGGTAGTGGGAGGTGGGAGGCTCCACTGTGGACACAAAATCACTGGGGGGATGCACGGTGTGGGCTTCCACAGCCGTGGGCACCAGCCCTGATGCTGCTTCCACAGGCCTCGGCCAGGGAATGGAGCCCAGCGGGTTCCCACTGCAATGACTTCTGTCACACTTGGATGCTAATTTTAGAGAGCCAAGAGCACGTGATGCATCCCCTGCCCTGCTCGCGTGGTGTTCTCCTCACAAATCCTTTCTGGCATCCTCTTCTCTCATGACTGTGCTTGTCCCCTTGCCCTGTGTGCGTGATTCAGAGCGAGGAAGCACAAGGCATCTGTCATCTGCCCAGTCCCCACCACCGCTTTCCTGCCAGCCCTTCCTTCTGCTCCACTCACACCCCTGTGCTCACCACTCCCCTGTTTCCACAGGAGCGCTTTGTGGACCTCTATGGGAACGATGCTGCTGCCGAGATGAGAAAAGGCCAGGAGACCTTCAACAAATGGCTCCTGACCGGGGCGACGGTGGCCGGAGTGCTTCTGCTGGGATCCCTGCTGAGCCGCAAGTGAGCGGCCGCCGAGCCCCCCGTGGCCAGGACGGCTGCGCCTTCACCGCCACATCCACTACACTCCACTCCTGAGCACCGCCACCGGCACAGGGGCAGCCCCTCCATCCCGGCCGAGCACCCTGCTCCGTGGAGTTTTCTCCCTCGTGCAGCCAGCTCCTTTTATCGTAGCCCGTCTTATTTACTGTTTCCGTTGTGTTTTAAAGGCGCTGAGGCCAATGCAGCACTTCAGCCACCAGGTCCCAGCGCTGGGGAGATCCAGGCAGCTGGGGAGGGGGGGGCACAGGCTAGAAGGTGTCCCAGCCCTGCAGGGTTCTCCAAATAATTTGGAAGAGAATAAACAGACTTATTTTTGCATGTGTGAGTGCGTGCGTGTGTGTAGATGTGTCACTAATATAAAGTTCCCCAGCCAGAGCAAGGGTCAGGCTCCGTGCCCCCGTCTCTGGCACGCTCAGGCACCAGGAAGAGGCAGGCTGCCCAGCGGAATGGAGCTTCCCTGCAGCATCCCTATCCTGTTCCTGCTTCTCCAGTCAGAGCTCATCCCTGTGGCTGGGGGAGCAAGAGGAGGAGGCAGAGGCCAGAGGTGAGGTGCTCTGCCCTTGGTCAGAATTCCTTTCTCCTCACATACTCAGTTGCTGGGAGCTGTTACCTGTCCCAGACGAGGATGGTGTGCCAGGCCCAGGGCTGTGCATGGTGTGAAGGGTTCTTTGTCCTCTTCCTCCTCCTCACTCCAAATGTAGATGGCTGTGGGACAGTGCTCATCCCTTCCCAGCCTTTTCTGGGCTGGTGAAGGAGGCAGGAGAGGGGAGAGTGCTTGTCCCTGGCACAAAGGGCTTTGCAGAGAGCTGGGGTTGTTGTGTCCAGGAATCCAGAGCTGGGGATTGGAAGGGTCAGGGGAAGCACCTTCACAGGGGTGGCAAAGCCCAGGGAGCAGCTGATTCATGAGACGAGTAGGGAAGCAAGCCCAGGGGAGATGGAAGTGAGGGCTGGCACTGGCTGAGAGCCATCTCCACCTCTGGGGAGCCTCTTTGGGGACAATAGGAGCTGTTGGCCTTTCTACTGCTGTTCCCCATGTTCCCAGTCCCATAGTGCAGGCAGATCCCTGTGCCCATGCGTGGCTGTGATGGCTGCATGCAGTAACTGAGGTGTCTGGCTTCCCTCCCCGTCATTCCCACGCTGCTCCTGCTGCTGGAGCAGGGAACCTCCAGCCTTTGAGCTGAAATTAGCTTCCAGAATAAACGCCCTCATCCTTCGGAGCCCGCTGCGGGCAGACACAGCTGTCCACAGCTTGTCCGTGTACATACTGCCCGCGCTCTGCTGTACATATACGAGTAGTTTTTAATTCATTTGTGAATACTATTAATGCTATTTTTGTTATCTTGTCTGTCCGTATTTATGTGTGGGACCGTGCTCCCTGCAGAGGCCAAGCTGGGATGGAGGTGAGGGGAGAACCGGAGGTTCCAGGAGGGCTCACTTGGCCACTGAGCACGGACTCGTGCTGCTCATGTCGGACCCGCTCAGACCCCGCATGGGGAGCACGAGGATTAGCATTAGCCCATTGAACGCTTCGGTTTGCAGGTGGAGGTGAATCCACAAATAAATTTGTCATTCGAGCTGCTGGTGGTGCTGTGGTCTTTGCAATCGTTGGGAATTTGAGAGACTTTGGGACCAAAGCATTTGACTTCAGTGGGAGGGATGGATAGATGGATGGAGGGATGGATGGATGGGAATTAGCTGCTCTCCTGACCTAGGGAAGAGTTGGGGTGATCTTAGGGCAGTTTGCTGTGGTCCAGTGGGGTGGCACTAAGGGGTGATGGGGACAGGAGAGCTCAGGCAGGCTCTTAGCTGGGCTGGGGGTGCTGGTTCTGGGGACATGGGCTCAGCACCCATTGTCACGTTGGGAGGAGGAGGGCAGGAGACTCACAACCTCACTGGGACCCACATCCCCCCGCATTCCCGGGGCTACCCTTCAGAGGAGCACCTTCCCTTTGTACGAGGCTCATTCCAGCGCGCTTTGGACCACACAAAGACTGGGGCTTTTTGGGATGTCACGAACATGGGGAACGCCGAGCCACCCCACATCGCTGTCACGGCAGGACGCGCCCAGCTCAGTCTTGCCCTGTCCTTTCCGGGGGCCTGGCGGGTCCGTGGGCGGCGGACACGAGCACCCTCCCGTGGGCAGCGGGAGCAGCTGCCGCGGGCTGCGGGAACGGCGGGACCCGCACATCAACAGAGCCGCGAGGGTTGGAGACAGCCCCGGTCCCGAACCGGCCCCGTCCCCAGCCCGGAGCCCCCCGCGGGGCACGGAGCCCGGCACGGCACCGCCAGAGCCCCTCGCAGCACGGGACACACGCGGGGTCGGGAGTGGGACCCTGCCGGGAGACAGGGTGAGGGGGCTCCCCATTCACCCCACAGCACTCAGGGCTGAGCTGCGCTCCCGCTTTAATCCCTGCCGAGGATGGGGGTCCGTGGGTCCCGCGGTTGGGCGCTTTGCCAGCCAGGGGGGCACGATGGAAAGGGGATGGAGATGGGGACAGGGCTGGTGGGCGCTGGCGGGTTCCCACGAGGCAGGCGGTCTCATGGCTCGTACTGCAGGTCCGTGGCGATGAGCACGAAGCCCTGTAGGGAATCAGGGTGAGAGGGGGGATCTGGGGGACGTGGGGAACCCTGGGGTAAGGGGACACTGGTGGCACCCACCTGCTGCAGTGAGAGCCGGGGTCTGAGCAGGCTGAGGCCATGTGGGAGGGGCAGGGGGATGCCAGCCTGGAGCCACTCTGTGGGGGGACAAAGTCATAGCAGGGGATGGCCCCGGTGCAGCTGTGGGAGGATGGGGACAGGAGTGGGATAGCACTTACTGTTTGCCCGGGGAACCCCAAAAAGCCACAGCCCGAACTTCAGCAGGGTCTCCAGACGCTTCACCTGTGGGACAGGCAGGCCCTGAGCCCAGCACAGCACAGGTAGAGGGGTCCATGCTGCAGGCAGGGCTCAGCCCCCTGCCAGACTTGCCATGCATGGGGTCCACAGCACCCCAGATTCCCTCCAAGGTGATGTGGAATCCAAGGCTCCCTTTGGCTTCCCTGGCGCAGCCACTCACCTCCACTGGGCCCACGTTTGATGCCACTTGTGTTACATGGAGCCTGTGGGACAAGATCAGGGTCAGAGCCAGGCACAGGGATGGGGACTGTCCCATCCCAGGGTGGGGACAGGCTGAGCTCCATGGGGGGACCAGGGCCCCAGCAGAGCAGATCCAGCTGAGGACCTACTGCCAGGGCAGTGGCACAGATGTGAACTGGGGGCAGGATGGGGTCTGAGAGGCAATACTCCAGCAATACAGGACTCAGGGAGGCAAATGGGCAGAGGTGGGGAATGGGGGAGCTCTCCAGGTATGTCCTGGGGGAGCTCAGACCCAGCTCAGGGTCGGACACTAACCCTGTCAGTCTCACAGTGCCCCCGAGTCTGTTCCTGGTGATCGTTGGCTTCCCTGTCACGTTGGCATCCTGCAGCAGGAAGAGACATTGGAGAGACCAGGGCAGAGCCTGCAACCCAGCATCACCCAGCACGGCCCCAGGATCCCCCAGTACCCCCCAGCATGGCCCCAGCCAGGAGCACAGGCACACCAGCCCCAGCCAAGTCCTTTGGGGTCCCCTGGCTCCCTGAGCCATGGAAGCAGCAGCAGCCACTCACGATGTTCAGCAGAAAGGCAGGGACACGGGTGGCGTTGGGCAGCACCACAAAGGCCTCGGCAGAGCTGAAGAGGGTCCCGTGCAAGGCATCAGCATGGCAGGAGAGCAGCGGCTGCTGGCGGGCCCAGAGCTGCAGCTCCATGGGATGGTCTGGATAGTGCTCCTGCAGCTGTGAGGGACAGGGCAGGGGTGGCACAGAGCCATGCTGGCCATGCCCCCATCAGGTCCCCACCGTTGCCCATGTCCCATGTGCCCATCACTGCCTGTGTTCCTTTCTGTCTGCATCCCATACTGCCTGCAACACCTACCACTTCTACTGTACCCCATTCCCTGTCCTGTCCCTCGTGCATCCCATTTGTCCTCTGTGTCATCCCATGTCCCATCCCACCTGCAGCCTTTCCCTCCTGCATCTCATCCCTCCTATGCCCCATCCCTCCTGCATCATTTCATGTCCCACCCTCCAGCATCCCCTTACATCTTCTGTTCCTCCTGCAATCCCATCTTGTGTCCCATGTCCCATCCCACCTGCATCCTGTCCTACTCCATGTCCTACCTGTGTCCCCTTCTCCCTGCGTCCCATCCCGCTCACCTGAGGGGAGAAGACCTCCATGCTCTTGGTCCTCAGCTGGAGCGGGAACCGCCGAGGGAGCTGGAAGGCAGGGAGGGATCAGGGTGCTGGGGCCGAGCAGGGCTGGGCATGGGGACACCCCAGTGGGGACAGCTCTGCTCTCCGGCCACCCCTACCATGGCACTGGAGATGTTCCTGCGCAGGGCCCCGGCTGTGAAGTAGGTGAAGGCGGCTGAGCTGGCGACGAGCTCGGTGACAGCCAACAGCAGCATGGGCTCGTGTGCCAGGGGTGGTGTCGTGGGCAGGGGCGTGGGCAAAGCCACGGGCAGTGCCATGCCTGGTGCCACAGGCGGCACTGCAGGCAGTGCTGAGCGTCTCTGCTGGTACGTGCCCACCCTGAAGATCTCCCCCTGCACAGACACACAGATGGGTGTGAGGATCAGCCAGGCTCCCCTGTTCCCAAATCTGTTCCAGGAATTATCCCCAGGATGACATTACCTTGAGGGCAATGTCCCCATACTCCTCTGTGAAGGTTGGCGGTCCCAGCAGGGAGTAGTCGATGGCAGCAATGGTGTCCAGCTGGGTGGACACTGCAGGGACATGGAGGTGGTCAGGAGGAGTCAGACCACCAGCCCCCTCCCACAGCCTGGCTCTGTCAGGATCCAGCCCCACAGCGGGGTCCTGCAGACCCTGCTGGGCACCAGTCCTGTCCACAGCCTCCCAGGACCACCCTGCCTGTCCCCAGTCTTGGGGTCCCCTCACCCACCTTTCATGTGCTTCAGGGCAGTGTCCAGCCGATCAATGCCCCTGTGGAGCACGAGGCAGAGCTGGAAGCAGAGCAGGGTGTCAGCGAGCCCAGGGATCAGGGTCTCCAAGACTCTCATTGGGCTGGGGGGGAACAGGGACAGCAACACCCCAGGGCACAGGGGCTGAGCACCCACCTGCTTGTTGAGCTGCTGCTGCAGGGTTCTCTGAAGCAGAGGTGCCAGCAGGTTGTAGAGCCAGCTGTAGGGCAGAGTGGGGTGCTCAGATCACCTCATGGCACCCACCCAGCTTCCCCCAGCCCATCACCCTGCCTGGGGCACCAGTAGTCCTTGCATGCCAGGGACAGGACAGAGCAGGGGGTTGGCATCACCTGTAGCCACGCTGAAACTCCATGTGCAGGTCGGTGCCGCGGGTGTCACAGCCGGCGCTCCAAACCGTGGGGTGGCCGCTGCCATCCTCACTCACCCCCAACACGGCTGCCACGGCCAGGTCCTGCATGCGGAGCTCCACAGAGCCGCTGTCCTGGCTGGGCACAGAGAGGGTGAGCACAGGGACAGCGGTGACCCTGAGCCACCCTGAGTCCTGCCCCGTCCCCACAAGGACTCACACGGCGCCCAGCTGGGCTGCCCAGTCGGCGCTGAGCTGGATTCGGGCGCGCTGCACCGTCAGCCTCAGCCCCACGTCCTCGGCAAAGTCCAGCGTGGATTCATTCATCTGCAGCTCATGGATGTGAATCCTGCACAACACAGGCAAGTTGTGCTTGTGGCTGTGGTGCAGACAGGGATGGGGACAGGGACAGGGACCCCACGGGTGGCTCTTACCGTGGCACGGTGTAGGTGAGCGTGCCCAGCAGCGGGGTGTTGTAGGAACCCGTCAGGTTCAGCTCATGTTCCTTCTGCAGCATCGACTGGAGCATCTCCAGCCCAAAACGCCGGCCTGGGGCAAAGTGGGAATTTGGGGTGACACCAAGGAAGGGGCTGGGGTACCTGGGGTGTCAGCAGAGTGAGCAGCCAGGACCAGGATGGTCCTTCCATCCCCCATTCCTGGCAGACTTGGCATCATTCCTGGGAGTTCCCCTCATTCCCCATCCTTAGCAGTCTGGGCATCATCTCCCTCTGGTCTCCCCCATCCCTCCCCCCTCAGGAGCACCGACTCACCGAACTCCAGTGTCCTCTGGGTCAGCCAGGCCTTGATGCCAGGATTGGTGCTGGGGCTGGCGATGGTGGCAGAGGCACAGGTGGGCAGCAGGAACAAGAGGCAGAGCCATAGAGTACCTCGAGGCTGGTCCTGGGAAATGGAGGCTGGAGCAGAGGACATGTCTGGGAGACACGCAGCAGGTGTAGAGACCCCTTCCCTGTGCAGCAGCACAGCCTGGACTTATACTGGGACAGGGAGCCCCGGGTGACATCAGCACATGCGGGGACACCACAGTGCTCTGGCCACCGAAAGCCCGGCCTTGCCCAACGCGTGACTCAAAGGGGAAGCCCCCGTTGTTCCGCACTCGCGGCCATCGTGGGAGCCGGGCAGTGCAGGGTCCCACACCAGCCCCGCCAGCCCCCACCTGGGGGGACACACGAGCCAGGGACACCAGCAGGGGCTCCCCACAGGGGCACAGGACACACAGAGACACGGCTGGGGCAAGGCCACACAGAGCTCTGCCTGGAGCATGGAGGAGTGGGGCACAGGGACAAAGTGAGCTGGTCCTGGGCCGGGGGACCTGCTCCAGGGCAAACAGGGCTCAACCCATTTGCACCAGCAGGCAGCAGCTAGTCCCACTTTGGGAAGGGCTCTGGGAACCCTGCCTAGGGTTACCTACATTTCAGGGTGTCCAGGGTGTGGAAGCAACCCCCAAGGAAGTGATGGAAAAGTTGGGACAGTCAGAGCGAGAGCAGAACTGTGCAATCCTCCACAAAAAACCCCAGCTGTGGGGAAGGAGCCACCCGCACTGCCAAGCCCACCATCAGTGGCACCGTCCCCTAGCCAGGGCGAGCCCCTCCAGTGCCGTGGGCTATGGATGACAGGGTCCAGCTGCCCTCCTGGATCCAACGTGGCAGACCCAGAGGTACCTCTAGGAGGGCCAGGGTCCCATCTCAGCACCACAGGGGCACACAGAGCCCACGGGCAGTCTCACCAGAGGGACTGCAACCCACATAATTCACCTCATGGAGATCTTCAAAGCAGCTGCCCACTGGCCAGGGATGCCCAGTGCCACCAGCCGTGACTGCGGTGGTGGCCGGTGCCCCCAGCAGTGACCCAGAGGCCAGCACTGACCCTGCCCCCCAGCCCAATGCCTACCACAGCCCCTCTATCCCAGGGTGCCCCTGCCCTATGCCAGCACTCACCGTGGCAGCTGGGTGCAGTGCCCCACACCGCGGGGGCCGCGGGTCCTGCCATGGGTCCCAGCTCCTCCGTGTCCCGGGGACTGTACGCGGCAGTGAAGGGCAGGGGCCAGCTCTGACGCCAGTGTCCATCCCGGGTCCTGGTCAGACCACAACGTCACCCATTTCCCACGTCCCTAATCCCTTCCGGGATGAATCAGGTCCCGTGAAAACATCCAGGGACCGGTTGGGGCGCAGGTGCCCGCGGGCTGGGCGCTCCCTCGGGCTCTCCTGGTGCTGCCGCATCCGGCATCCCGACACGTGCGGGCGGCTGAGCCCTGCCAGCCCCGCTGCCAGCCTGCGCTGGCTCCGTCAGCCCCTTCCCCAGCTCCCCTGTGCCAGGCACCCGGTGGTGGCCGCCCCGCGACCCCTGAGGAGCGGATGACAGCCAGGGCTGCACGGCGAGGGCTCGGTCGTGGGGCACACAGGGCTTAGACAGGGGTCAGGCAGGGACGTGGGGACACACGTGGACACACACGGAGCCCCTCTCCCCACCGTTCCAGCGGGAGCTTCCACATCAGGCGGCAATGAACAGGTAAGGGCGGCACTCGGGAGCGCGGCCCGGGAAGAGCCCCAGCGCCTCCCGCGCTGCCCCCGGCCCGAGCAGAGCCCCCAGTCCCGGTTCTCCCTGTCCCGGGACCTTCTGGGCTACTCCAGGAGGGCGGCCCGGACCGTGCAGTGCGAGCGGGCACCGGGAGAGGGACCCACCGGCCCGTCCGCACCGCGCTCCGGGACTGCGAGGAGGGCGGGCGGTGGAGGAGACGCCAGGACGGTGAACAGGACCTGGGGGTGATGGAGGGGACCCATCCAAGGATGGACAAGTTCATCCACAGACATCCAAAACCCCCCTGCTCTATGTGTCCCCTGCTGCTGTCACAGCCAGGACAGGGGTGGACAGGCAAGGCAGTGTCCTGGTAGCCCAAGTCACCTGTGCCCTGCACAGGCCCTGCCAGGGGATCTGCGGGCTGGGAAAGCACGAGTGGGCACGGGGACACGCACGGGACACTCTCGCAGCTGTGACCGTGCCTGTAAACACCAAACACACACAGAGGGCGTGCAGAGCTTCACACATGGACACGCCTGTGCCTGGGGCTGCTCAACACCTTCCAGCCCCAAATCCTTTGGCTGGGAGACCCTGGGAAGGGAGGGGCGCCTAAAGGGTGCCACCAGAGTAACAAGAACCCCTTCAGGCACCCCAATTGTCTCCTGCCAGGACCGTAGGGAGGTCTGAACAGATCTGGAAGAGGAGGCTGTGAGATCCTTGGGGTGTTTGTGAGTCACAGGGAAGCTCAGGTAAGGGCAGCTGCCCGGGGCACCCCCAGGCCTCAGGGTTGCACAATCCCTGATGCAATTTCCTTGTCCCAAGCGGTTGTCTGTCCCCACAGGCAGGGGTTGCACCAGGAAGAGCAGGAACCACAGGGGTGGGGCCACAGAGAGAAGCACCCCAGGATTTGTATCTGCACTCCCCTGTAAAGGGATGAATCCCTACATGATCACCCCTGTAATCCCACAGTCCTGACACAGCAACAATTGTGGAAGCCTCGGAAAGGCTGCTGGGTGCAGCTGGCCCAGCTGGGAAGGGGAGTGAAGGGAATTCCAGGCTGCAAACACGCCATTGTCCAGGCAGATGGGAAACCACACTCCCACCTGGGCACAGAACCCCACAGCTGGCTCATAGCACTGTCCCCTCTGTGTCATCAGCTCATCAAGGTGCCTAATTAGGAGAAGATGCATCCCAGCACTGCTGCATTATTCCACCCAGAAGATAGGGTGGGAACAAGCTTTCCTCCTGTGTCTGACCCTCAGCACCCCACGGCTGAGCCCAGGGAGTGAAAACCCACGGGAACTACTGGGAGAGGCTCTGTGGGGGTAATTCTGGGACACAGGGAATTGAAACCAGCCCGTGAGGAGCCCCTTTCCCAGCACCACCACAGGGTCCCAGACCCTGTATCCCCCAACATACCCACCCAGCCCACTGTGGTCTGCACAAGTTGCTCCCCCGTTAAGTGGGGCACAAATCCCCGGGGCTAAATACACCCAAGACGCAGGGGAGGGGGTGTGAGGGGCAGGAGGAAAACGCACACGTGGTCATCAGGGCTTGTTTAATAACAAAACTCCAGCTATTGTAGAACAATATTCTCCAGCATCATTGTAATATACAATACGGGGAATGCTCTCAGTAATCTGAGAAGGAAGGATCCGGCCCACAGCACCCCCTGCCCAGGCTGCGGGGGGACCCCCAGCGCAGCCCCGTCGGGGAGCCAGGGATGCGGGTGAGCCGCGGTGCTCGGGGATGGGGTCCCGGGGACGATGTCCGTGCTGGGACCGGGATCCCGCGGATGATATCTATAGTGGGACCGGGGATGATCCCGCGGATGGTCCGTGGAGGGTCCAGCGCGGTCTCAGCGGCAGAGGATCCGATCGGCAGCGGGAATGCACGGAGCCTGCGGGAAAGACACGAAGCGGCCGGTCAATACTTGCCAGGAGGGCGCCGGAGAGGACGGGGATGGAAAGGAGGCAGGAGGAATGGACCCCCCCGGGAAGGAGAGGACGCGGTGGAGATCGGGGGAAGGAGATTGCAAGGAACGCCGGTGCTGCCCGTCAGGAGCGCGGGTCTGAGCCGTGGGGTCCGCACTCACCTCGGGGGAGTCTCCAGCAGCGGCGGGGCAGGGGGGGCCGCACTGCAGCTCCAGCTGCAGGTCCCAGATGTAGTCGATAACGTGCTGCAGCAGCTCCACCTTGGAGACTCGCCGGTGCCGCGGCAGTGTCGGCACCAGCGCCCGTAGCCGCGAGTAGCAGCCCTTCATATCGTACAGCAGCGCGGCGGCCGCCTGCTCCGCCACCACCGGGGACACGCCCGGGCCCGGCCCGCAGCGGGCGGCCTCCCCGGGCCGCACCGCCTTCAGCGGGCCGCCGGCGCCCGCGGGCAGCGGCGAAGAAGCGACAGCGGCGACCTTCATGGCGAGAGGCTGCGAGCGCGGCGAGCGGAGCGGGGACGCGGCGAGCGGACAACGAGCCCGCGCCCGCCGCGCCTCTTATAGAGCGCCGCCGATGGTGGGCGGGGCCGCGGGGAACGCTCGACCAATGGCAGCGCAGAGAAAGCGGGCGCGGCCCCGCCTACTCCATTCATGCGCCCCTAAGGGAGCGTCTTAAAGGGGCAATGGCGGAGAGAGCTCCGTGACGGGCGGGTGCTACAAGGGTGCGGAGCGCCCACCCTGCCCCGCAATTAACGTGGGTGCATGCCCGGGGCCTCCCGGTGTCGGGCTCCCCGCAGCCCCGCTCGCTGCTTGCCCCCTCCAGGCCCCGGTGCCCCTCCGGGCGCTCGGCCCCCCCGCACTCCCCGCGCCCCTCCCTTCTCCGCGGCGGCTCAGACCGTGAGACGCCAGGGTCGTGACGTCACCCATTCATAAAACCCGGCGCGCTGTCAGCGCGGCGCCGGGCGGGCGGTGCCCATGGCGACGGGGGCGGGGCGGGGACACACACCTGCAGCCCCTACGGGGGGCACCGGGACCCCCACGGAGACATCGCGACCCCCACAGGGACACCGGCACGCCTACGGAGACACTGGCGTCCTCTCCTGGATACGGGGGCACCGGGACCCCCGGGGGATATCTGCACCCTGACGGAGACACGGGGGCATCGGGGCCCCACGGTGGCACAGGAACACGGGCATCCCCACAGGGGACAGCTCCGCGCCCCCTGCCCCGAGTTTGGAGTTCTCCGTTCCCCTCTTTCCCTCCCGGGGCTCAAACCTCCGCAGAGCTGCTCGGTGGCGGCTGCCGGGGCGGCGGGCGCCAGGTTCGGGTCCACCCGAGGGACGGGCAGAGGGGTCGAGCCCTGAGTGTGTGGGGCGGCACGGGGAATGGGCTGCGAGCACGGTCCTGCCGCGGGCAAAAGCGGTGGAGGTCCCATCCATGTGCGAGGCAGCCAGTCCTTGCCCCGAAGGGTTTCTGGTCTGGGCTGTAATTAGCGTTACTGCTAATTACCCCGCACCTGCGGGGAGGGCAGGCAGCGCCCAGGGAGGGCCCCGAGCGAGACCCCGGCACACCCCGAGCAGCG